TATGAATACCAAAGCAGGCCAAACCACAGTGAGAAATTGGAAATGTATGCATAGTCGTAAATTGGGTGCTTATGAGGTCGACAATGAACACCAGCTGCTAGAGATAGACCACCGCCTAAAATTAGGAACCGAAGAACATAATAAGAGTCCGTTTTTCAGACCGTCGCCCTCCGCAACGTTGCTGTGAACACCAACTGGACTGGCGCGACCATCGTCTGCCAAGCCAATCTGAATGGACAGCCTGTGGATTCGTCTCCGGCTACCGTTAATGTTCGATACCTTCGCCAACCTCACGTTGTGGATGCCAATGGCCAGGGACCAGTTATTATTCAGAATAATGGATATCGGTAAGTTAACTTAAATTTGTAGTCGCCTCTCTCTCTCTCGCTCACTCACTCTCTCTCGCTCTCTCTCTAACTCTCTCTTTCTCTGTCCAATCTTATTATTCAGCTTCTTTGTCGAGTGCCAACGTGGTCAAGACGGCCAATGCCAAAGCACCGGTAGGAGGAAGACCCTAAAATGCCTCGTCAATTCGAACCCACCCCCGACTAACTATCGCTGGTTGAAGAATGGCGTTGTCACTAGGTAAGTAACTACTTAAAAAGCCGTTCTGAACCACAGTATCATCAAGTTCAACAAGTTCACCTCCCTCTTTTAGCGGAAACGGAGCCGAAATCACCATCGGAACCGAGATGATTGGCCAATCGATCCAGTGCTCTGCTAACAACGGCTTGTTCTCGGATGGAGAGATGCCGGCCAGTCAAGCTGTTCAAATTGACCCTTACTGTAAGTTTTAGCATGGATTTTTTCTGGCTAATTCTTGTATTCCTATTTTTAGTAGAGATTTACTTTGTAATGGCCGCCAATCACGCTTATTTTCAGCGGCTGCAAAAGTGAACACCGACAACTTCCAGAACCTGATGTCATCCAGCCAGTTCAGCGGCGGGCGGGCGCAAATCGACCAATCGGTAAGTGAAGCCCAAATAGTGTTTTTGCGGGCTTTAAAGGGAGTGGGAAGGCTGATGTCTATGGATTTGGTTGAAAGTCGAAAGCAGTAATGGCAAAAAAACAAACGGGAAAAACGGGAAACTACGAAAAGCATCTCGAACCAACAAACTCCATTGTCTTGCTTGGCCAATCCCTTTAATTTCATGTCGTGGTCGATGACTGGTTTTAAAAGCTTCGTGACTTTTCAACCCTGGTCCCATCTATTCCCATGATATTCTTCATTTTGCTTAATTAATGCGATTTTGGCTCACAAAAAAGTAGAAACGCTACCTATCTTCCATTATATAGGCTTTCGCAACCTCCAGCGAATGCTAATTGTTTCCCAGCAAAGAGGGTTCTCGATTTTTCAACAAAAACTTGATTTTAACGTCGAAAACCGCTAATTTTTGAAAATTTTGTTGGTGTGCAGTCATCTAATGAGGTATACCCCTAACTACCCCCTTATTGAGATACTACTGGAACACACTGACGGAAGTTTCATGCAACGTAGCACACAGACACTATTTTTTATATATAGTAGGATTGGATCTACGTAGCTGGACAAAATTTGCTTAAACGCATCTAAATTGCCAACTTTCAGATGAGCCTCGGATGCCAGGTCGAAGGCAATCCCCGCCCGGTCGTCTTCTGGCGACTCCGCAGGCCAAGTGGCGAGATCGTCGACGCAGCTTGCCCTCAAGGCTTCGAGGGACAATACCAAGAAGTTACCGCGCAAAATCAACCCGGAGTCATGATGGCCCCGACCAACAATGTTGTAAGTCTTTTCCATCATTTCTAAAGTATAATCGTTTCCAGATCAAGCCCTCTTACAATGTAGGTGCGAAAAGGCTACTGTATAGTCGTACTGTATCCCAAATTGTGTTGTCTATTTTTAACTTTTCTTTCTATTGCCTGCCTGCCCGTGATAATCAGTGAAAACGTACCGCGCCGTGAATTTCGGTTCTGTCTTCTTTCTACTAACAAATGGATTTCATTTTTCTGTAAATTGTCGATGGGTGGTGGTTTTTGGGGTGGAAATTGCGGGTATTAATGGCGTTTTTCGTATTTTAACCTGCAAACCTTAAGCTTAGTACGAAGTAGAAAAATTCATCTATTTCGTTGGTTTTAAACATCCGGTTCTTTGGCATTAGCAGGGGCGGATATTATGGAGGAAACGCAACTGTTTTTCTGTTATTGAATTTTATGAAAAAACCAGTGGAAAAAGACCGCTTCGCGGCCCTTTTCCACTGGACCCCGTCCAGAAACCATGAATTTGAATACCTTCTTTTTTTGGGTCTGCGGTGCAGGTACCTGAGTCAAGGATCCATTCTTTGGACTGCGGCGTCAGAGACAGCGTTGCGCTAGGATAATTAGGTCTGAGGCGCTAGTTACTGGTTTTCCCCCAGGCTTGGCCTGCGGCGCGAGAGCCTGGGCCAAGGACCCATCGTTGGCCTGCGGCGCAAGAGCCTGGTTCAAGCCCCTTTTCTTCGGCCTGCGGCGCTAGAGCGAAGCTCAGGCCTAAACCTGGCACATCGGGAGCCTAGAAATACGTTTTGTTGCTAAACTACCAAAAAGCAAAAGGTTGGATTCTCCCAGGACCCGAACTCCTGACCATACGTGTGGTAGACCGGGCGCCAACCCACTACACCACAGAGACGATGGGAACGGGTGGCCTGAAAGGCCTCTTCTTTCTGGGGAAGGCTGCGGGGGAGGGGTGGCAAAGAAAAGGGCGCCCCAATGATCCCGGGCGGGTGGCCTCCTGGTCACTTTACAAAACTCGATCTTTGAGTCTGAACCTGCTGAAAATTTCTAACGATAATAAGATGCGCGTGATCCCCACTATCGAATACATAATTTGTCCAAATTCCAGCCCGAAATTCCAAATGGGCATCGAGTTATGGACTGAACACCACGGCGCGCAGCCCACTTTGTTAAGGACTTTTTAGAAAAACGCACATAAAAATTTTATTTTACAAAGTCTGAAAAAACGCAGAATTATATATCGGGAGAATTCGATTTTCAATCTGCCCTCCAACAATCAGCGCCTAATTCCTTTTGGATCGCGAGATATCCTCTGAACAAACCTTTTTTTGGCCAAAATGTTAAGGGTTTTCCACTATTTTGCTTGTAAAATCCTTAAATGAGGGAATTTCGAAAAACAAAAAAATGCCTATAAAGAGGATGTGTTTCTCCACCTCCATGCCAAAAATCAGCGCAAAATTCGGCCTGACGGCCGAGAAATCGGCTGCACAGAAAACAGACATACTTTTCTCGCTTATAGGATAGGATAGAAGCGGCTCTAAATTGTTTTTCTACTATTCCAGGGCAAAAAAAATGCAAATTGTTATCAAAAAACGCGCAGAATTATCGATCGTTCCAATTTTGAACATTTTTTGTAGGTCTTTTAGATAGTTTCCCGTTTGAAATACAGTTAAATTTCGCAAAAAAAAATGTTAAAATAGCCACTATTACGCTAGGGAGCATTTTTGATATGCAAAAATTGTGGTACACTTTATTGAAATTTGTCAATTTCTTAAACCATTTTCAAAACTATCGTCGGCAAAACCGCAAAAAGTTAATGTTGCCAAATTTCCACCCGAAAAATTGCCCAGAATGTATCGTTTAATTGAGTAACTGAATCTTTTAATACCTAACTAACCATAATTTTTCAGCGCCTCAACTCGGTGTGCAACCTCCGCGTGTCCAACTACTCCTTTGCCGGCCAATACTGGTGCTCAGCCTGCTCGTACGTCTCCCAAGGAGCCCCAGAATGCTCCCCGGCCATGGACACGCCCAGCACTTCCACCTTCGATCTCCAAGTCCAGGGCCCGCCAATGGCCTCGGATCAGGGACCTACTATTGAACAGGTACAGCTTTTGCGAATTTCAGACCTAGATGGCAGGATAATTCCCAACCATAGTTGCTCCAGAATAATTCCTCGTTTACCTTTGCTAGCCTGCCAAGTTTCCTATTAAAATCTGAACCTATCTTTTAATTTTAAGGCTCCTGGAAGCCACAACGCCATCGTCACCGTCCACTACTGTGCCGATCCAGTGCCGCAGCCGCCGAGAGATATCACCTTCCAGATTGATCAGAATGACCTTAAGGTAAGTAATCCGATGTGTTCCCTTTAGTTTGGCCTGTTTTAGCTTTGAACTTATCACAAACTGTCTAATATTTTGTATTTCGGAGCTTATATACATTTTTACAGCCCGGCGACACCTTCGAAAACTTCCGCTTCGAGGGCTTCCAGCAAAATTCGACGGTTCCGAACTGCTACTTTGCCCGCCTTGGCATTAGCCGAGTTTCGGAAACCGACCAATACCGACAGATCAACCTGAAAGTGCAGAATATGAAGGGAGCAAGGCAGTACGTTTTTTCTATTAACGCAAGCGAACTTTACGCACCTTGCAAATTTGGATGTTGAAATTCTATGCTCGATGGCAAAGTCAAGCGCGTTTTCGAGTTTTGGCGCGAAATCCGGCTTTTTTAAATTGGAAATTTTATAAATATTCTTCCACGCTTCATCAAAATACCCTCCGCTTTTTCTTACTTGATTTTATGTTGCAAATCCCTGGCTAAACCTAACCCCAAAATTGCTTCAGGCGCAAACCCGAGCTCAAGTGAGTGGCTTCGATGCATCTTTTCCCTTTTTTTGATTTGTTTAATTTTTTTTGCTTGGCATGGCGAGCTTCTCCCCTATTTCTATAATTTTTTATTCGTTTGAAATGATACCTTAATATATAACGTTTCCAAAGCACGATGGGAATGCTAAAATGCATCGATTTTTCCATATACAATGGGTGACACATAGCTGAAATCGATCGGATTAGTTGTAGTTTGTAGTTGTAGTTTAAAAAATAATCTACTCTCTGCTAAAAACTACAAATTACAACCTCCGATTTTTCAAAAAAATTAGTGCTATGTAAAACTCCTAATTTCTATATTTCTATGTTTTTCTGGGTTGCCCGTCAATTTAAAACCCCGGAAATTAATTTTCTAACTTTCCGGAAATGCGCTACCAGTTTGAAATATTTTCATAATTAAGTTAAATTATCCTTTTTAGGATTCCCGTCAATTTGGAGTCGCTGCTCGGGGGAAATACGGCGCATTCCGGAAGACTCTCCGCGGCGTGGATCGCTTTCATCGTACTCCTCGCCCTGTGTGTCCTCATCGCGGCCCTGATCGCCATTTGCGTCAAGAAGCAGATCTTCTGCTTTAATAGTAAGTTTTTAGAGCATTATAAACTGTATATGAAGATCGTAGGGGGTATCATACGTACTTTAACTGCCAATATCCTAGATCTCACATTAAATCCCTTTTTCAGGGAGTAAAAACGTCGAGCACCACTCGGATAACTACTCTCCGGTGAAACCGAAGAAGTAAGTTTGAAGTTAAATTAGATTCCAGAAATGTGAGCAGGGCAAACTAGCATAGAACATTTGGGAAAAAATAACGTCGGGCTAGCGGAAATTCTTGGGGGAATGGAACAGCATGCTAGCAAAAAGCGCTTAAAAATTTGAGCAGGAAACTAGCGGTGATTGATTGCAAAGTAAGCCAAAAGTAACCATATAGCGCAGATCATTCTGGAAAATGAAAATTGCGGCTATCAGAAATTTTTTAGAAAATCCAGAAGAGCGGCTAGCAAAGGTGGGTTAAGAAATCGACAAGAAAGCTAGCAGAGAACACTAGAAAAATAAAACCTGAACGCTAGCAGCGATCATTCGCGAAATTTAGCCGGAAGGCTAGCAGGGATCATTCGAGAAAATCTTCTACACACTAGTTCTACCCCTTTTGAAAGCTAGCAGAGAACGTCAGGGATTTTACATACAGTAACCCTTCGAGAAAGACGTTTATTTTTAGCCTAAACCCCTCGATCGACCGGACCTTCGACGAGCCGCGACTATTCGCCCCCTCCCCGGCCGAGGTATCCGATAGTGGATACGGTGTCTATCTATCCCGGGAGGCCGTTGTGTAGTCTGTACACTTCCGTACCCTACAAACTACCGTACCCCACCCTGGCTGCATGACTTACCCCCTCTATACCCTGTCTTCACTACCGTACCCTCCACCCTACTGCCGACCTCTACCGCCTATATCAACGGGCTTCTCCTACCCCTAGATATCGTTAACATGTGAGTGGTCCTGATTTTTCAAACTTTATTGATTTACTATTATTTTCGGGTGCATGCAAAGGATGGGATTTGGGATTTCCTGGTGAAGAATATTAAGGAGAGCGAGATTTTTGTAAAAACTATCGTATTTTTTAAATTTGAGAGTAGCATTAAGATTAGGTATCGCTTTTTGATTACGGATATAAACTCTATTACTTTAAAAGTATCTTCCATGATTTTTCAGCTTTTTTATTACGTTTTTCTTTAAGAATCTTAAGTCTAGGTATCAAGTTTACCATACCAGGTAGCAAAAGTGACGCAGGAAAAGCTTAATTATTTTCTCATGTTTATTTTAGCTGTTCTTTAAAATTCAGGATATGTAACGACTCTTTACGCTGAAATTTAACAAATTTTGGGCGGTCTTTACAGCTTTATAACTTTCAAAGACGCAATTTTTACCAATAAAAACGCCGAGAAATCCAAATACCCCATAAAAACCGTAATTTGTTATTTGTTTAGTTGTTTTATTTTCAAATTTTGTTTATTTCCCATTTTCAGAACCGCGCAAAATCACCAAGTTTCCACGAGGGCCTCAACTACGCGGAGATGCGGTTGACAGATGCGATGGAGCGACCACCTTATGCAGCCGCACCACGTCTCTCTGCCATTAGTTCTGTTGTGTAGTCGACTTAAGCGTTATAATAGCATATTAAATATCCTCTTAATGTCCTATTTCGTACGATAGTCTGCTACCGTACTCTATATCTCAGCCCAAACTTTGCTCCCAGCCCTAGTTCAGCCTCACTTTGAAAATCACTCAACTCTCCGGCTCAATCGATCGCTTCGCCCTGCCCTCCCTACTTATACCTTCAGGATATTGAATCGTATTTTAAAGGGGTGTTAACAGTTTTTCAGGAATTTTCGGGTGTTCGAATTTTAGATTTTCTGTTACCATCCCTTAAAACCAGTAAGAATCGAATAATTCGAAAATCCAGCTTTTTTCCTGGCCTTTTCGACTCATATGGGTAAAATCGCTCCCCCTGCTACACAGTTTCGTGGTTGTGCTTTCAGTTTTTTTGCGTAATCTAATTGTTATCTTTTGGGTTTTGGTAATCGACGATTAAAATGTCTAAAATTACTGAAATCCAAAAATTTCTACTTTTCCAATTCTCAAACTGTGATCAATTTACGATATTTTTCTTCTCCTCTCTGTCCCCTGCCTCTTTCTTTATTGTTACAAAAATGTACCTTACAACGCATTTTCAAGGCCTGATCTAGGAAATTTAACTTTTTTGGATTTTAGGGTGCCCGAAAAAGTATCAGCTATCAGAGCTTCGCGCTCATAGAAAGCCGCAAAAATTCAAATTTTGGAATAATTTTATAAAACCAAAAAAATGTGTTTTTGTTCGGCTTTCAAGAACTTTCGATTGGTATAAAAATCATTCCGATACGATACTTCTTCCGGCCGCTAGAGCCACTTTTTTCCCTATCTTTGACCCGTCCGACCATCGCTCATTGATCTCCCAAGCCTTCCCATATTTTCGTCCGTGCTCGACACATTTTTTGTCCACCACTTTCATCCGCCCCACACTCGTTGGCAATGTACGATTTGCGTATTTGCCAATTATTCTTTTTCATTTCGTGTTTTTGGTGCATAATAAAAACTATTATTTATTCAGTCGATTCGATGCTGCCATCGGATTCTCCGTAACAAAATGAACCTAGATGCGAAGTTTCACAAAATTTGGGCCGTGCTTTCCGGAGACCAAACAATTTCCGGAGCGGACATCTTTTCGACCGCTACCGTACATACAAACATAAGTATAGGAATTCAAACGCCTATAAACTCCAAGCACAGTTTGTTCACTTCTGGCTCTTATCAAGAAACGAGCAAGAGCAAGAGTTTTTAGAATTGGTTTTATCCATTTTCATTTCCGTTATATTCCACTTTTTATGGGCAAAATGTCTCGTGAAACTTCTTCGTAGTCCTTGATTGCTTTCGGCGGGTTCATAGCTAATTCCAGGCCACAAGTGCCTAAGGGGTGCTTGCGGTAATTGAAGGTTGTAACCACTGGAACGGCTACAAATCTGAGGTTTTAAGATGGCAATCAAACTCCCAGAAATTGTCAGGTAAGTTGTCAGGTGAATGTGCCGGTCAATGCGCTAGATAAAGGCTGACAACGGTAAAATCCGATTACGGTACTCACTTTCTGTCCAAAAATCCCGAATCCACGACAAATATGTTTTACATGATCACCAGGTGCCCGCTGCTGAAATTGTGCCTTGTTTTGGTTCTACTACGTGTGGCAGAACTGCGTAAAGCGCATAAGACTACGCTTACTCCATCCGAAACTACCTTAACAACAACTCACGCCCAGTCTGAGACCCCATTGGTCGAAACCGGGTGGGCGCTGGTCCCAAAAAGGGGTCCGGGCGCTGGTCTAAGGGCTAGTATTAGCAACATTTTTTTTTCGGCGCTTTTGCGCCGTTTATTATATAAAAGCTTTTTTTACAGAAGTCCGCAGTTTCGTCTCTGATGTCCCACGTAGGTCAAAAACTTTTTTTGAAGCCAACTGACTCGGAGCGAACCGATAAAAATAAATCGTCAAAGAAAAATTGCAGGCGACGATTGACGCGAAGGAAACTGAAAGAAGCCGAAGAAGAAGCTGATGAAGTTCTAAAATGCATTCCTTTCTTATCCTCTCAAGATCATCCGTATGCGCTTACCTATCTATGACCTTTAAAGCTTCCTTGATGTGTATAGTACTGTAAAGTTGTAAAAACCCCGAATTTGATATCCAAAGACAAAAACCTCAAAGATAACTGAAACCATTGCCGGTGATAATTTTGAAACCAGAATTTAGCCTTCCTAACGAAAAACTTATTTTTTGATCATATCACCCAAAAAATTGTTCCATCAAAAACTCAAATTTTGATTCCAATGACCGATTCACTTCAAACTTGGCCTAATGGTAGATCAGAGCCTACTAATGTCCAGGAAAAAATATCAGAATTTTTGGACCGGTTTAAGACGGTTTTTCGGGACCAGCGCCAAATCGACCAATCAGCCGACCAATCAAGGTTTTTCCCGGTTTTGGTCCCCTGAAATATCAGCTAGATTGGTTTTAATTGGAATGTAGGTAGCCTAAAGGGTGGGCTACCGTATGCTGAAAAGAATATTTAGATTGCTTGCGTCTGCTTCGAGCCTGGGACCAGCGACTGTCACTTTTTTTGGATTTTGAAAATCGGCCAAATTCGGAGTTTTTCTCTTAACAGGGGGGAGTAATTTTTTAAAAATTTTTCCTTGATGCCGATGATAGAGTAGGATGTGCTCTTTCGAATGACGTATTGTACGTCCGGATCCGGCTCCTCTACGCGGAGCATGGGACCAGCGACACCATTGGTCGAGCCGATTTTGCCCCTTTTATATGGGATTTGGGGCCATTAGTAGGCTATCTCTGCCGAATCGGAAGCGATCGACTTCAAATGTTGACTGATGGTGAGGAACGTCATCAGCAAGCTGGAATAAATCTGGCGACTCGATTCGGTGCATTTGAAGACCACTTTGGGACCAGCGACGGAGATCGCAGGGACAAAATCGGCTCGACCAATGGTGTCGCTGGTCCCATGCTCCGCGTAGAGGAGCCGGATCCGGACGTACAATACGTCATTCGAAAGAGCACATCCTACTCTATCATCGGCATCAAGGAAAAATTTTTAAAAAATTACTCCCCCCTGTTAAGAGAAAAACTCCGAATTTGGCCGATTTTCAAAATCCAAAAAAAGTGACAGTCGCTGGTCCCAGGCTCGAAGCAGACGCAAGCAATCTAAATATTCTTTTCAGCATACGGTAGCCCACCCTTTAGGCTACCTACATTCCAATTAAAACCAATCTAGCTGATATTTCAGGGGACCAAAACCGGGAAAAACCTTGATTGGTCGGCTGATTGGTCGATTTGGCGCTGGTCCCGAAAAACCGTCTTAAACCGGTCCAAAAATTCTGATATTTTTTCCTGGACATTAGTAGGCTCTGATCTACCATTAGGCCAAGTTTGAAGTGAATCGGTCATTGGAATCAAAATTTGAGTTTTTGATGGAACAATTTTTTGGGGGATATGATCAAAAAAATAAGTTTTTCGTTAGGAAGGCTAAATTCTGGTTTCAAAATTATCACCGGCAATGGTTTCAGTTATCTTTGAGGTTTTTGTCTTTGGATATCAAATTCGGGGTTTTTACAACTTTACAGTACTATACACATCAAGGAAGCTTTAAAGGTCATAGATAGGTAAGCGCATACGGATGATCTTGAGAGGATAAGAAAGGAATGCATTTTAGAACTTCATCAGCTTCTTCTTCGGCTTCTTTCAGTTTCCTTCGCGTCAATCGTCGCCTGCAATTTTTCTTTGACGATTTATTTTTATCGGTTCGCTCCGAGTCAGTTGGCTTCAAAAAAGTTTTTGACCTACGTGGGACATCAGAGACGGAAATCACAGCATACACAGATACCATCGATAATTTTCGACAACCGAAAAATCCTGCAAAATTATCCCAAAACCCAATTTTCTTTCAAAAAAATCGGCGCCGCTCCGCGGCGCTGGTCTAAACCCAGTCTTATCCCTCCGGGCGCTGGTCCCAATGGTCGCTATCCCCTATGTTTCCCAGACTGCTCACGCCCCTTTGGACTATGGAACGGAAGATAGCAATTCATACGGCCAAGTTCCGGATGATTCTCAATACTATTCGGCTCCATCGTATCCTTACGACTATGCGGGATATTCTGGCTACTACTACGTATCAGAGGACGGAGAATCGGCAGTGGATGCACGGAGGCAATGTGATGTAGATATCACTATTGATGATGAGGAACGTGTAAGAATCCAACAAATGCCGGAATTCGAGGCGGGCTATGATGATCAAATCGATCCGCGCATTACGGGGAATTGTCTCCTGGTAAGTTTCAATTTAATTGGAGTAGTCTCCCGCATTGATGTTAATATTTTGTGTTTTTTCAGGCAGGGCTGGTTGGCGTTGCGATGAACATGGTCTCGGGATACCTTTACGTGAAAAGAAGTCCGCTACGAGGAAATGTTGCGCTCGCCTTTGGGTTGGCATGCGTTTTTCGACTCTACGCAGGGATTTCGAAGATTTATGACTTTGCTTGTATATTGACGTACGGTTTTGTCAGACAGAGCGAGAGAGAGGGGGAGAGAGAAAGACGGAGAGAGAGCGAGAGAGAAAGAGAGCAATGTACACCTAGACAAGCTTCTTTAGCTGGCACTGTGTGTCTGACCAAGAAGGGATCTTCTACACTGGCATGGGCCTGAATACGATAACAGCATCGTTGGATATGAGTCTTTATTATTCTATGCATTTGGTCTTGCATGGCCTTACGGTTGATCGGTGAGGAAATCGAGAGAGCCAGAGCGCGAGAACAAGAGAGAGCGAGTAAGCGAGACGGAGACGTCAATGAGATAGATAGATCTTACTTTAGTGTGTGTAAGAGCCTAGTATATCGAGTACCTTGAAAATCTGAAGTTTAGAGCTATTCTGGCTTTCTTTGGCGGCAACGTTTATCGATTGGCAAAGTATTTAATGATTATGTATATGATTATCGTATGCGTCATTCCAATCGTCATCACAGAGCTGATGATCGGAATAAGTAGGTTGGATTTGAATTGTTTAATTCTTAGCGCGGGAGAGAGCGAGAGAGGCAGGGCTAGAGACAGCGAGTCAGAGAGATATGGAAATAGAGATCGAGACAGAGAAAGCGAGAGAGAAAGAAAGAGCTATAGAAGCGAGAGAGAGAGCGAGAAAGACAGATATAGAGCGAGAGAGATAAGAGCTAATTTAAATTATATTTAGTTAACGATATGGGTACACATTGCTGGGGAGGCTTTTGGTACGATCCAACCAACTTTGCCATCACCATCAACTTCTACAAAAACGCCTACACCCGCGAACTTTTTGAGCAGCTGGGCACTGTTGTTCTGGGAATTATAACCGGCACATTGGGCCTTAACCTGGCAACGTTTTGGAGGCTGAAATACCTGGTATGAATTTTTCACGTCGCGTATATGTTTTTCTAGGGCATGCTAGAAAAAGGAAACTTGGTCGCCTCACATAATCAGATTTTGATGATGCTGGTGAGTTCGTGCAACAGAGTGATACACTTTAATTTCTTTAAGTTAGGTTTCTCGAACCTCTCGTATTTCTTTGATGAACTCTTGGCCGGGCTCACCCACGAACAGCTAACCTTTGGGCGTAACAACGTCTCGGCGAATATTGCCAAAACGTATCGATACCACGCGAGCATCATCGTCACCGGGTATCACTTCATTAATATGCGTTAATAATACATTTATTATGCTGTTCGTCTGTTATTGTCTTACATGCGGAAATCGACGGAAAGAGAAGAACCGTGAAATCGTCACGGTGACCGCGGGAGAAAATGCTAGCGGCGCTGGTGATTAAGAATAAATGTATATTTCCATTCTGCGGTTTTCAATTAGAGCAGTTTGAAAAATCAGCTTTGCTCGACAGGTGACTTTGTTGGAAATGGATTCTAATTGAAAGAATTGCATTAAAATGATTCTTAGTGCTTTAGCGACCAGCAGCGCCTAGACTTGATTTTCGATAACATAGCCGATTATGGTTCGTATATTGTAGAAAGGTGGCGCTCGTTATGTGTGTCGTTTCCGTGCATAGGTCTTCTGTTGCCAGAAAATTTGTTGCGTGCCTTGCCGGGCCCTTTAGGTGAGCCAAAGCAGAGATTTTACGCATTCCGACAGATAACATGCAAATTAGGAAGAAAAGCGCAAAAAATTGTTGATCTAGCTTATTTTGTACTTTGTATCCTAATTTGTATGTGATCCCGACGCCGAGTCGGTATGCGTAACGTCTCTAATCCAAAAATCATCTAGCCAAAACGGTAGGATACCGTGCTCCTATATAATTAATGGTATTTATATTTTTATTGGTATGTATTTATATTTTTGCCGTCTAGACTTAGCCCAGTTATCAGGCTCCCCATCGCCTCCCTTCAGAATTAAAATGCCCGTTCCGTGGCGCATAAGTGGTAATTATTTCGGACACAACAAGTGCCACCGTGTCGTGAAATGATAAGTGCCGCTTGACGGCAGAGGCATTTTGTGAAAGTAATTACAGACTACGACCAGTTTCATGATTTACTTCCGAATACAAATTGCCGGCTGAAGGGCTCCAGCACAAAAAAGCAATCAGGAAAATCGACTACGTTCTATTTGACAAGGGAACCTCAAGTTGGCACGGTGGAGTTTCGAAAAACGCTCGCGGCTACCCCTAGGTTTTCGACTATCGCGATTCCAACGGCCTAGTCAGAATTTCCTAAATGGGCCTCTGGACAGAGATACAGCACTTCCGGAAAATGATGATTTACATCCGAAAAATTAGCATTAGCGATAGGTTTATGAGGCTCTCTCATGACATAGGAATCACCAGTTGAGTGGCCGAGCGGTAAGCGACTCACTTGATAGGATGCTGACGAGGGTTCGAATCCGCTCACGATTTTTTTATTTTGCTTTTTGACCGGGACTTGCTGCCCAACTCCAAGTTTTGATTTTTACTATAGGAAAAAATTTTGGTTATGGCCCCAGACTGATTACCCCTAAGAATCCTGAAAACTCGTTCTCGAAATTCAAAATAGTTGGGTCCACCCATATTCCTTTTTTTTTACAGAGGGACGACCTCTATGATTTCCTTTGGATGCTTTTAGAAGTTTTAGAAAGAGAACGAATTTGCGAAAAAAAGTAACCAAAACTTGGAGTTCCGGTAAAAAAGCAAAACAAAAAAATCGTGAGCGGATTCGAACCCTCGTCAGCATCCTATCAAGTGAGTCGCTTACCGCTCGGCCACTCAACTGGTGATTCCTATGTCATGAGAGAGGCTCATAAACCTATCGCTAATGCTAATTTTTCGGATGTAAATCATCATTTTCCGGAAGTGCTGTATCTCTGTCCAGAGGCCCATTTAGGAAATTCTGACTAGGCCGTTGGAATCGCGATAGTCGAAAACCTAGGGGTAGCCGCGAGCGTTTTTCGAAATTCCACCGTGCCAACTTGAGGTTCCCTTGTGAGCCTCCTCGTAATCGCGAGGTGCCGATGGGAAGTTTTTTGGATTTCACGTCGATATATGACATGTTGAAAGTAATGATGATGCAGCTGGAAGATAGCTTTTAAAAACCTGAATTTCTGAATGTATACCTGATCAATGCACAGTGCATGAATTCATACACAGAATACGCCAAGTAGGTAGACCTTGGCTGGTACGTCACCGATTTCGTTGCTGCCCCAACCAGTTGTTTGCCGAATATTAACAAATTTGTAGCCACAAGCTAGACCGAACGTTTTTATTAACGTATACAAGCTTACCATAGTCGCAAACCGCATGTTTACCTCATTTTTTGTAGGCGAGCCCTCCATCTAAAAAGCGAAAAACGCGCTGCTGAAGGGTGATATTTCGAGGTATCGGCTTTTAATAAAAAATCTACCTTTCTCCAAGTTGTGATAAAGGCAATGATATCCAACGCCAATGTTATGGCCTGTAGTGCCATCAGAATCTCCGGAACCAGGTCGAAAAGCGTTTTATAGAAAGCTGATTTGTAAAAACGGCATGTTCGCCAGTAGTACACAGGAGTAAAGTGATAACCGGTGTAGCATAGATACCCGTTCTTAGGATCGGAGACTAAAAACGAGTGATGTAGCTAGGTTAGTATTGAAATGGGATTTCCTGGTGTCTTTTTTTAAATTCTGTCACATCACGGTTTTTCGCCCGTTTTTCCATCGCGGCAGGCATGCGAGCTTAGCTTTATTAAACCTACTGTTGCCGATAGTCGACATATAATAACTCCAGAGTAATAAACATAGCACAGCAATGTAGTATATCGACAATTTCTCAACTTTCTTGTAATGTATACCACCGTCGTAGACAGCAAAGAATCTAATTTTGGCTTGGTACTCGAAGCGGTCAGTTACTAACCGTATCCCCGAAACCCAGTGCTGCAATAAGCTCATCGACAGATAGCTAGTATAATCTAACGTGGATATAAGGGTATTGAACATTATTCCCGATAACGGGTATCCATCGCTTTTTAGGCATTGCCAACTAAACGACAAGCTTTCTGGTACACTTCAAGGAAATATACACATTTAGCTATCGTGGGGTGACGTACACTGTTAATAACGTAGAGTACACTTACTCAAACACGCATTTCCCATAGTAAAACCGCGCCAAGGAATTAACAATCCGACATCCCGCGTCGGCGATCATTCCAATGCTAACGATCCTCGTGATTTTTGGATTTTTCAGTACCAATAAGCCCGAGACTGTCGCCAAGGCCGCCCCGATGAAGCCGAGCTAAACATGAAACTCGATTTTGTATCAATGTGAGGCAGCGCTACAACTACTACGATCTTCTGCGTTGGTCGCGCGGCGCGATGTACACGCAACGCGCAAGACACGCGATTGTTAAGAAGGATCCGGTTCCTAAAATCTTTCCGTGCCCGCGAACCGCGTATGCACCTAGCTTATACTTCTAACAAGGCTTACTAAATTACAGAAAAGGGTAAAAGTTTACCTTACCCCCCGCCCAGCCAAAGGATCTGAAAGTTTTCGGTCATTTCGCTATTTTTGTCGGGATTTTTGAAACGCCATTCGATAGAGCGGTGGAAAGATATACTAAGATTTTTGGTTGATTAATTGATTATTAATTTTAATTTAATTTGAATTCTTTTAGTGAAAACTTATCTATATTTCTCAAAATTACACGTACCACAAACATCGATATCGCAATATTCGTTGCATCGGCGTGGTGGTAGGTGTGAAACGGGGTGCCATCCCATTTGTAATCGGCCAACTGAGACGGATCTCCAAATTGTTGATCGCCGGGCCCCTTCTTGCAAACCAGTGGGTCATACTTGGATGCCACATACAGATCCAGGTCCTCGTAGGTGATAGCTTGATAAATATCGCCAGAAACGCCATAGAATGGATGGGGAATATCAGTGGCATAATCTTTTGAACTAAGCTCGGTAGTGTCGATAGTGAAATAATCAGAGGTAATCTCGGTAGTGGTGGTGGAAGTGGGTAATATGGTCGTGGTGCGAGGTTTTTTCGTCTTTGACGTCTTCATCCTTGTTTAGAGTTTTCTAGAAGTAGCAATTTTTATATTTCTACTCCCGAACTACAAATCGAAGTCGCTTAAAGGGCTATATGCAAAACCAAGAACGACCGAACTTTTTCAGACCAAAATACCGGAAATGGGTTATGTTTCGAACGCAAACCCGCCGAAATTAAATTTGGCCGCCCCAGGTCACCACACTTCCATCCGGTTTTTAGAAAGGGGCGTGGCCAGGCTCCAACTCCGAATCAAAAATAATCTTGCGGAGCTCAAGAAGACGCGGAACCCAAAAAAAAACAGGAAATTAACAATTTTCAGAATCTTGGTGGCATTTTCGGGTTTTGGATGGATGTTCCGAAACAGCTACTTGACAACTGCGGTAAATCGAAAATTTTTCGATGACCAACAAAGCTCATCTTCAAATCTTGCGTCCCTTACACTTCGCAAATCTGATGAATCACGCTCTCCCCGCTAAAAAAATCATCTTATAAAAATTTCCTACTTACCGTGGAGAACATTTGCTGTCCCCGCTTTTCCGGTGCACACATTTTGCACAAATTGGCAGCAGCGCGCACCCGAATAATCGGGTACTTACAGTAATTGGGCGGAACAAAATCGAGCTCTTGAACTCTCGATCCCGGATTAGCCTCGTGAGTAACATCAATAAAGAGCGCAGCACAGATCATCCACATAAAACTCTCAAAAAGAACCGTTCACTGCATTGTTCCTAGGCCTGAAATTGTAAACAATGCGTTACCTCGGAATCCTGGCGATACTGGGATTTTTGGGTAAGTTATGTCACTTCTCTAAACTCGGAAAAATGTATGTTTATAAAAATTAACAAAAAAGCTGTCATATTTAGCGGTCGCTTCCGCTTTTTGCCCACGATCTTACTTAAAAGCGACTGATGCTAAGAAATGCTACTTCGGCTTCAATATATCAATGAGTTTCGGACAAGCCGAATACTTTTGCTTCAAGTAGGTTAAGTTTCTCTAAGTTAAATGGATTTTCAAGCTTGTACAGGGTGACCAGTAGAAAGTGTATACAAAACTTTTGCCTCTAAAAATTTGCAGAAGCTGAACCCAAACTTTGCTGAAGCATAAAAAGAAAGATTATGAGTTAGTTCATCACATATTGATTGGGTTTTAAGTTGGCTTCTCTGTGCTTCTGTATAGAGCTTCAGAAGGGAAGCACATTATGCGGTCGTGGGCCGCAGCTCCGATCGGCTTGCTGTTGCCGCCTTAAAATTACACCCAATTTTTGTTGGGGCCACCGGCAGGGCGTGAAATTACCTATTTCGGTCCAAAACAATCCGAAGTATGTTTCGAAACCTTCGGAATACTGAAATCTCAAATCCAGATTTAATTTGACCTTAGTTTGTAAAATGGGCACGGTTTTTGGCAATTCAGGCTCAATAATTGGCGAAAACGGATTAAGGAGCTTATTAATGTTGATAATGTGTATCTTTCTGTTAAAAAGCACCTTTGGGCCAAATTTGGGGCCTTGATAAACTCCCCGTGACTTTTTACGAGCCAAACTAGTCGGAACCTAGCCCAGTAGCCGATTTCTTGTTCCGACTAGGTCACCGTAGAAGGCTTCGCGCTGCAAGGAATTGTGTCCAAAAATTACCATAATTGTGCATGATATAGGCAGAAAGCTTCTTTACATTCTACAAAAATCTGAGCCCACTAAAACACTCGGGGGCTTCAGGGCGGAACAAAGTATCCAACTTGGAGTTGCGGCCTTTTGGCGTGCTTTTTCTTCGCATTGAGCAACATTTTGGAAGCTGTATTTCTCACCCAACCGAAGTTACCTTTAAAACTTTTTGACACCTTGTTAGTATTACTGGTTTTGCTTACCTCCAATGAGCAAAAAGTTTTAAAAAACTTAGGAAATTTTTATGACACTTTTTATCAATGTCGAGTTGTATACACTTTCAACTGGTCACCCTGTATGGTCATCTAGCCTCCATCAACAATGCTGCCGAAAACACGAGTATCCGCGACTACGCTAGATACCAATTTCCGGTAGCTCCAAGTACACAAAGTCACCATTCCGGCTCCAGGATCAAGAAATGATCTGGATTGGCGGGATGTACGATGGAAAACGGGTGACGTGGTTGGATGAGACGTCCTCGACCTATACGAATTTTGAATCGGGTAAGTGCTAGTATGATATAGCGTACTATATAAAACATTAAAGGTATGAAAATTTAGGTACTGGGCCCGGCAATCTGGTGATGAATCTGGCCTCAGGCAAATGGACTACCGGAAGAACGACTGATATCAACGCCACGCTACCCTTTTTGTGTATCGGATATCACGATGATAACGCCATGAATTTCACCCCGGCCACACCAATCCCAACCCCGAAGCTTAAAAAGGGCACCAAAAAGCCCAATCCGAACAGGTGGTGGACAGGAGGCAAGACCAAGAAGACGACAGCTTTCCAAAAACCCGCTACCCCGCCGACAGTCCCAACTCCTAAGAAAGTTAAGAACACCTAGAAGCCGAACCCGAATAAATGGTGGACAGGCGGAAAGACCAAGAAAACAACGACTCAAAAAACGAGTACCTCTGCTACTAGCACCAAACCGACTGGTACTACCGGTACCACAGGAAGCTCCCGTTTGACCCAACTTCTCCCAAAAACAACGTCGACACCATGTGAAGCTGGATGGACATATCTGAAAATGACCGAATCTTGCTATACGGTAAGTCAGTCAGCTACCTAACTGATAGTAACTGTTAGTAGGAGTATGGTAAAAGTGACGATTCACTACCGTAGGATCGTTTTAGCTAATGACAACCGAAAGCACCTTTTTCGAAGCCAGGAAACGATGCTTGGCTGTTGGCGCCGACCTTGTTTCGATCCATTCTGCGGAGGAGGATCAGCTTGTACTAGGTAAAGATATCGAGGGAATTGCATAAAATTAAAACCGAATTTAGGATTGGCCCTCACTTACTTCGATATCCCGGAATATAAGAACGTGTCGGTGGCAAGGACCTGGCTGGGAGCGATGAGGGTAAGAGAGAGAGAGAGAGAGAGAGAGAGCGAGAGAGAGAAAGACTCAAATCCAGAATACTTTCAGAATGGAGTCCAACAATCCGACTTCTTCTGGTGGGATGGTACCAAGTTTGACTATACCAACTGGTCGGAGGCACAGCCCGACAATTGGCAGGGACAGGAATTTGTTCAGGTATCTTCGAAATTATCTTAAATTATAAGCTGGTTATATTTCATCGTTTTAACTATCTTCGACCCTAAACTTACGCCAAAGTTTTCAGATTTACACACAAAACGATGATGCCTATATAAATCCCCGATACCTCAACAAATGGGATGATGTCTCAGATGCAAAAGCGCATAACGCGGTTTGCAAAAAGAAGAGCCAGCTTTAAATTTTTTTCGCTGAATAAAGCATGAATTCCTATTTTTCAACACTTCCGGTTTCCATAAATGAGGAGAAAATCGAATGATTCCATCAGGCAACACAGTTCCGTCGTTAACTTGACGGGTTTATCGTCCCATCAAGTATCACCATTTAATCCGGTATAACCAAGCGTAAAAAACTTATTGTAAAACGCCTATCATTCCTGGCAAGCAATTCCCCGCCTCAGAAATCTTAAAAAATCCAATGATTCCTGGTAACTTTTTTTCCGGCCTGAGGGCCTGTCCGTGCATAAAATGCCCTTCTCTCTCGGATCGAGTTTTCGGAATTTAGATAAAATCCTACTATATATAAAAAATAGTGTATGTGTGTGTGTGTGTGTGCCACTTTGCATCCACTTCCGTATCGTTGTTCCAGGCGTATCTCTATAGGGGAAGAAGCTAGGGGTGGGTACGATACGTCATTATGTGCGTAATGGTCTAGGGATGACTGCCCACATATCAGATTTATAAAAATCAGCCATTTTCGATATTAAATTTAAGTTTTTGTAAAACCCTCTTCGCTAGGAAAAAATAGCATTGACCGGAAGTAGGAAGTCGACTATATAAAGGGTCACAAGCGAATCATTTTCGTGTTTTTGGTCATCTGAATTCAGCGCAATTATGGAAAGCGTAGAACAGCATGCGGTCCAAGACGGGGCCCGGGTTGAAAAGTCGCCAAGCGGCTTTTCAACCCTGGTCGAAGTTTAAAATGCTAAAGCCTGTTTTACTTACTTGGTTCCGGCGCTAATTTCAGTAAAGTGAAAAATACAAATTTACTAGTTCTTGCGAGTCGCAGCGCGAGTGTGAAGCCGCACCAAATACCGTTTACTAGAAGAATCGGGTTTAAAAGTAGCTGATCCAGATAAAAACGTGTCGCTGGTTTCCAACGCTTCCGGTTTCGACCAAAATTATCTAACAAGAACCATCTTAACAATTCCGCCCATTCGGCCCGGTTTCCGCCATCAAATACCATCGCATCGATCTCGTTAAAAACGTTAAAAAATTATTTTAGGGAGCGTTAATCGAGATTCAAAACACTGGAACAGATGACTCAATTCAGTCAGCGTCACGAAAAAAAAAAAGATTTTTCGGCTTCCGCTTTAACAACAGCAGGAAATGAAAGCGCAAAATCCTTTGCCTAGGAAGCGATGTCTCATCCGCCTACTGACCGCCTTATCAGTGCCGACGACCCGGAATAGTCGCAAATGCGGTGAGGAAAACAACATGAGTTATGGCTTATAAAAAGTGAAACAGTCGGAGGCTTAATCATTCCAAATTTCCATTATGATCGCACGGGTTTACGGTAGCCTTTTTGTATGCTTTCTGTTAATCGGTAAGCTCATTAGTCCTCACCTAATTCATCTTTATGTCTTTTCCAGACCTGTCCGCTGGGTTTTGTCCAAAATTCGCCGTAGAAGCCTCCGGCAATGAAAAATGCTACTTTGGCTTCGATGTCCTCAAAAATTCCCGGGAGGCAGAGTGCTTTTGTAACAAGTAAAAACATTTTTTTGCTTACTTTCAACATTTTTTAGTCTCTACGCTCATATAGCCTCGATCACCAACGAGGCTGACAACGAAAA